TTTTTTTTATTTATCATATTTACTAAACATAACACTATAATACAAAGTTATTATTACATTTTTATAAATTACATTACAAATTTCGAAAATTTCACCAATTTCGAAAAACATAATAATTCTTCGAACGCGTAAGCAAGACAGCAAGATAAAAAAAATTGCAAAGAATAGCATAGAATATAGTAGAATAGCGAGTAGAAGAAGTGAAGAGTAGATACGAGTACATATTAACGAATTAGCACAGCAAAATAAAGCTGAAATTTAGTATATCGTCTTAATGTTTATCACAGTTTTGTATATACAAACAGGATGTGTTCTATAAATTTATTAGGTGAAGAAACAACAACAAACAAAAAAGAGTAAATATAAAGAAAGCAGAGAAATAATGCATGTTTCAGAGATAAAAAGAGGAGAGCGTGTATGGAAATAGAGAGCGTTAGAGTTATTTAAACGGCAGCTTGTATTGGCAGTTATGGTATTTAAAAAATAATTATTTTATATGCACTACACACTAAAAAGCAGGGGGCACTTAAACATTTAACACGTTCGAACGTAGCAATTTCATTTTAATTATAATATAAAGTAATAAAAAATAATGAAAAGAAACTATGCAAATTCGTTAACAATATCGATTTGTTTGCAATTTGCCTCGATGTGCATTTGTCTGGAGCAGTTTTTGAGTATACCTTCTTTCGTTCGGGAATTTTTGTATTAATTCAAAAGTGAGATTATGAAAAAATTGGGCTTTTAGTTCTTAGATTGGCATACGCAAAAATTTAAAATTAACAACTACATACTAAATAGCAAAAATAAGTATGTATGTATATGTGTGTGAGCAAGGGAACAGAAAGTATTAACAAGTGTTTCATAAGTTCATAAGGATGAGTGCTTCGATTTCGCTGCACTTTTTCTCACATTCTATTCGAAATTTATACGTTTTGTTCTAAGTTAGTACACAATAAACGAGTATGTATGTATGTTTGCGGACGGCAAAGCGATTTTCGTGGTTTAGGCAGGCGCTTCGGTCGGCTGGTGGCAGCCCTCCACATTCTCGGGCCAATCGCATACATTCTCTTGTGGGTTGAAAACTAAGTTGGCAGGACATGGCATATGATGCTTGCGTTCACCTTCGCACATGTAGTAGTGAGTGCAGTCGTTCCAATCTTTGTGATAGCTTATGTGGCCATCCTCCTCTTCGCAGGTCACATCATGTGCTGTAACAAGGTCAAATACATTTCATATATTCGTACTTATARCGTACAGCAGTTTGTACTTACGATCTTTTGTCGTGTAGGCGCCGCGTGGTCCGTGCGACTCATATGGACCCTCGTACTCCAATTCGACTTTGTAATCTTTCAATTCGTCGCTGAGCGCGGTCAAAAGCGGATACTTGCCTGCACCGCAACGTCCCGAGAAGTCATCCATGTCGATGGACCAAACCATTATGCCACCGAAACCTTGCTCCTTCAACCATTCCATCTGCAATCACGTCAAGTTTTATAAAGTTTTGCGGCATAAATACAAAAAAAAAACACACACACACACACACAAATATAGAACACCACACACCCACCTTGGTCTTTAGCGAGCGCTCATCGTCGAAGCCAACCCATTGGTTGCCACGATATGCGAATGGCACTTGCTGTTCGGAGTCCCACACCAGCGTTGTATTGTCCGCTGCCAAAAACGAACACACTTCGTAGTAGCTCAAGAAGCCGGCCTCGTTCGTAAATTTGCCTGCTTTGCCGCCACCCGATGCCGGCGCGCCAATGTCGAATTGTGTCTCGTTGACCAGCTCAAAGGAGCGTCCATATGTGGGCATGCCGATGAGCAGCTTCTCTTTGGGCGCACCTTGTTTCACCCATTCGCGTGCACTGTAGTCCACYGTCAATTTCTTTTGATAACCCGTTGTCGCTTCCAAGGGGAAGAGTGGCGAATTGTGTCCGACTGTGCGTTCCCATTGGCCGTGGAAGTCATAAGTCATTACATTGATGAAATCGAGATATTTCGAAATCTCTGGCACATCATAACCGGCAGCGATAGCTTCGAAAGAAGCTGGTACTGCGGCGGTCAGAAGCAGACGCGGTTGTCCCGAAGATTTAGCCTCACCTTCGAATGCGACACGTARCTCACGCAACAGATTCACGTAGGCGGCACGATCTTCAGCACCACGTGGATATTCCCAATCTACATCGAGCCCATTGAATTTGTAGTCACGTAGGAAATCGATAGCCTCGTAAACGAATTGATTCATACGGAAAACATTTGAGGTGAGCTCTTTGAATGGTTTCGAACCGAAGGCCCAACCACCGATGGCCAATAAGATTTGTATGTCTGGGTTCTCTTCACGCAAAGCGATAACCTGTTCGTAGTTTTCGGGATCATCGTCGGTAGCTTCGCTGAGCTTGTGGTCTTTGAGTGTGGCAAAGGCATAGACGACATGCGTGCAGAGTTTGGGATCAACATTTGACGGCAGGAACTTGCCAGCACCCGGTCGTTTGGCAGACCAACTTGTCAGGTAGCAGAAGACTTGCGCGGGACGTGCTATGTTGAAATAGMGTTAGTTAAGCACATAAGTTTAAAATATGCATTTAGTTTAAACTCACTGTTTTGTTCTTTAGCAAYGAGACCCGACTTGATGCGATGTTTCTTCGATGGTTTGCGCACTTTGCTGAGCAATTCCTCTACATCAATCTTAATTGGCGCGGGTTTCTCCTCCTAAAAAATAATAARACATAATTTTTGCAATGTTCCATTAATTTATTACACAATTTACTTACTTCTTCTTCTAAGTCATCGAAAGTTGACGCTACCGCGGTCCAGTTAACATCCTTCGCCTCTTTGCCGCGAGAAATGCCCAGCAATTCTTCGCGCATAGCGCCAATCAATGGGTATTTGACATTTCCTCCGCATACCTCGCCCTTGAAGTCATCCATATCAATGGTCCAAACCATAGCGCCACCGAAACCGTTCGATTTGATCCAATGCATTTTATTGCGGATAGCACGCTCGTCATCAAAACCGACCCACTATTAAAATACAATTTCCTATTCGCATAAGTCCACATTTCCTGAACCGYAGTAGCACATACCTGATCACCATCAACCATATAGGGCACTTTCATCTCTTCATCCCAAACGTAGACGGCGCCATTCAAAAGCATCTCACAGATTTCATAGTAGGCCAGAAAACCACTCTCCTTGGTGTACACACCCTCGCGACCACCACCGGTTGCCGGCGCATTCGGTCCATGTTTTTCAGTATTTGCCAAAGTAAAYGAGCGTCCATATGTAGGCATACCTATTAACAGAGAAAGGCTTCTTTTATAATTGAGCTTGGTGGTAAAAGACTTCATTCAACTCACCGATGACAAGCTTTTCCTTCGGCGCACCCATTTTGACCCACATGGTAGCCGCATTGTCGACCGACAATTGTTTACGCCATTCCGAGTCAGTTGATGGCGCATATAACGGCGCATTGTGTCCTGTTTCACGCTCCCATTTGCCGTGGAAATCGTAAGCCATCAAATTTATAAAGTCCAAGTAACTAGCTACCGCTGGCACATCATAACCACCGCGCACGTTATCGGGACCGACTGGTACGGCTGCAGAGAGCAGTAAACGTTGTTTCTTCAATTCTTGCGCCTCGGCTTCGAAGGCTTCACGCAATTCTTTCAACAACAACACAAAGTTTTTCTTATCATCTGAACCCTTCGGGTACTCCCAATCCATATCCAAACCATCGAAACCACGTTTACGCAGGAAGGGTATAGCTGAGTAGATGAAGGTCTGACGTGTGTAACGTGTAGCGGACATCTCCTTGAACTTTTGTGTGCCGAAAGACCAACCGCCCAGAGCAAGCAAGATCTAAAGTATTTCAAGTGTTTAATTAGCTGCCTCTAAACGAATTTGATTAAAGTTCATAACTTACCTTCAATTTTGGATTAACTTTCTTTAGTGTCATCATGCGATCGTAGAGACCGGGCACGGTATCCTTCGTCTCATCGTTCGACTCATATGAGCTCAATTTACCCTTCTTCAGCCAACCAAAGGCGAAAATGATGTGTGTACACAAATCTGCTGGTATGTCTTCGGGTACGAACTTGCCGATCTTCACGCGATACTGCGACCAATTCGTGTAGTAGCAAACGATCTTCATGCCACCATCATCGGCTTTGGTCTTTTTACCCTTCAAKGTGGAACCGCTCGCCACCAAGGCAGTACCAGCGGCGGCAGCGSCAAGCGAACCGCGTGTTTTCGATTTCGAACGACCGCGTGCGCGTGACAAAGTGGTCGTGGTGGACGATGACACGGATGAGGAGGATTGTTGATCAGCACGTTTTTCGATCTCATCGACGGGCGATTGTGTAGCACGTTTTGTAACAACAACACTGCTGCGTGAATCAGACGCGGCGGAAGAAACGGATGTAGATGATGGGCGACGTAGACGTCGACGTGTCTTAGCTGAAAAATTAGAATAACAAAATTATTAGATATTTTTTGAGTTTCTCTAGTTAGGCACAAACTAAATTATAACAAGTGGATTACTTTAGTTATTTTCATCGGCTAATGGTCTTAAATGAAAGAATTCCTTTTCTCTTGTGCTGATACTTTTTATATTTTTGGACTCGGGGTTTTAGCCATGAACTTGGCGTTTCTTAAATTATAACGAGTTTTTCAATAAGAGCTCTACAAATTTTTTTTTTTTTTTTTTTTAATAAAACAAAAATGTTTCGAATATCAATGAAATTTTTTATTCCTGCAAAAGTGCATTCAATGCCATTAGGTATGGAACTCGATTTCTTTGGCATGATCACCACGGGCACGTTTTCAAAAGTCCCGACGATGGACCTAATCGACGATTTTCAAGCATAAATCAGTCCATACTGCTACAATTTCAAGTTCGATATTCGTACGGAGTTCATCAATCGTCGCTGGCTCGTTGGCCATCCACCATAGACGTAACGTAGCCCTACAGGAAATAGTCTAACGGTGTCGAATCGCACGACCCAAACGGCCAATTGACTTTGCCATTTCGTGAGATAACACGTTCACCAAACTTGGTTTTCAATAAATCGATTGTGATTGTCCTGTTGGAACATATTGTTCAAGTCCATATCATCCAATTCGGGCCAAAAATATTCGGTTATCATTGAGCGATGGCGATTCCCATTCACAGTAACGTGGCGGTCTTGATTATCACGGAGGAAGTACGGCCCAATGACGCCACCGGCCCATAAACCGCACCAAACCGTAAATTTTTCCGGATGCAATGGTGACTCATGGAGTACGTGTGGATTGCTGCCTGACCAATAGCGCATAATTTGGTTATTGACGGAGTCATTCAGCCGGAAATGAGCCTCATCGCTGAAAACGATTTTTCAATGAAAATCCGAATTATTTTCAAGTTGTTGCTCAGCTCAATTCACGAACATACGACGATTCTGTTGGTCAAGCGCCTTCAGTTCTTGCGTCAATTTGCTCTTGAAAGGATGAAGGCCAAGATCTTTTCGCAAAAATTCGCCACAACGATGTCACAGACCTGYCCAACGTTTAAGAACGACGTGTTCGAGAGAGTGATTTGTGTCTTCCACAATTGATGTGCCAGTGACAGYAATATTCTCGACACYGCGGACACTTCTTTGTCTCACTGGCACGSGAACATTATCTCACCCAGCCCACATGTATTGAAGAGTTCCTAAGACTGGCATGAGGCGAAGGTTTTGCACCTTCTTGCAATCGCTTGGCACCGGAGAATCTGAAGCTTTTTCGTCTTTATCGCAAGGTTACAGAAATAACAGTGTTCTATTGACTGAAGGCTCTTCCTATGCATATGTAATATTATTCTCTACTTTATCCTGTGTTACTCGCCAAAATCATTTCATTTTGATTTTTCCAAGTAATATTAGTTCCTCTTGGGTATAGCCAGGAGTTTGAAGCTCAAAGCATTTCATTTCTTACTCCTTCTTTACGCTTTCCGGAGCATGAAGGGCTGTGAAGCTACAGCAAATGCATTTCCAATCTCATTGGCTTAGTGAGCTGCTCGAGCTTATCTCTTGTCTACTTACTTTCAGAGCTCATTAACAGAAGCCAAAGCCAAATCCAGATTTACTACCGTTTGTCACAAATCGCTCATTCAAGATAAAGATCAAAGTAATTTCTTATTTTTTTGTAGAATTACCAATGAATAAACTCGTAATTCGCTTGAAAAATTTGCGTGTGTAGCTTGAGCAAGCGCGCAAGCGTGGAACGCCTCCAACTCATTAATCAACTTGAGATTGTCATTTACTGACACTGAGCACCACATTAGAGTGTGTGCGCTGACGAAATTGTAATTTACGCGTTTGAAAGGCAATCAATTGTTAACGCATACTCATACATATATAYGTGCATATATACATATGTATATCTAGATATAATATGCATGTGGGTAATCGGATCAGCGCAGATCAGTTGGCACAGTGACAAAATCTGGTAGCAAAATCTTTTCAAGCAAATAACAGCTGTTGTATGTATGTATGTATTTAAGATCATAAATTGCGTTCGCAGTTCTCTAAATCCTGCATTTAGCGCTATTATCGCCAATCATAAATTTTATATTTAAATTAAAACAAATACAAATTATGAGCGTCACGTTTTCTTGCTGCAAACCGATTGCGAATGCGCCGAGATGACATGGCAGACATAGCATGAGAAATATTTTGCAGCTGCAAACGTACATACATACACCTAAATATAAATTCATGCAACCGTTAAAGAGCCACTGAATTAAACTTCTAACTTCAGCAGTGACTAAATGGCTTTCGGTTACTCACCGCATTTAATGAATATTAAATCTCAGGCACGATTTCGTTAGTTTGTTTATTTTACATAAATAAGAAAAAAAACAACAATAGCAACATTTGCAAATGCTTTGATTAAAGCTGCAGCAAAACCAAATGCAGCTGCAGCAGCTTCAACTTCTGTATGTATGTATGTCTACGCGATCCATCGCATAAATCGCATTGTGGAGTCAAATATTTAATTGCCTTCGGTTTCCGAAACAGCAGTTGTCAGTGAATCTCGGTCGCTTGCTGCACGAAGCGTTTGCAATTTAAACGTTTTTACTATTTTTCTATTTGTATTAACTGAACGATTCCACTCTCTATTGGTTCTTAATTATAGCTGAAGATGATGTCTTTGAACTTTCAAGGGAAAATATGGTTTGCGTGGTTTAAGTTTTGCTTTATGCCGCTGTCGTTAATTTTGAGCAACGCTTTTTATTTATCAATACTTTAAGGCATATGATTTTGTTTATATTTATAGTTGTAAAAGCTTAGCAATATAATAAGTCAAAAAGTATCTAAACGTAGTCATCTTCTATTTACCACTTTACCATTCACTAAGTTTGTGCTCCCCAGGATTGTGTGCTGGGTTTAGGACCCACCTCGAAAAAAGAACACCCTCAATGTAAAGAAGAAAACAGCCTCGGACGAGAGACTCCCCTTTTGATGACGACCGCCGCAAACGTATTAAGAACTACGATTTAAGGGTATGCACCTGGAATGTCCAATCTCTTAATTGCAAAGGTGCCGCTGCCAAGTTGATTGATGTCCTCGTAGAAGTAAAGGCCGCCCAATAAGTGCGATGAAGAATGACTGAATCGAGTAGGTCCTTGTGGTATTTACTGCAGAGGCCAAATTTGGTGTGAGACTCGTGGTGGGAGAGAGACTCCCTCGCTGWGTCCTGTCATTCACCCCGGTAGGTRAACGTCRAGCTACAATCTCCATCGAAGCGAAGTTCAAATATGCCTCCCTTGGCGCATGGAGCGCACCTATGAGAGCTGYCYCGCTCGAATTCGACGCCAGAGTTGACAAAGAAGGAATCTTCGTCTTCGAAACGGCCGGTAAATTCAGCCACCATTATGAAACATCTTCAAATGGGTTSAAACTGATCGACCTCGCCGGGGCCCGAAATATGGCTATCTGTGGTATKAGATTATTAGTTAGTAGMTGTCTTCCGATCRAAAAGYCACCAASCAKATCAATCTTATTGTGWTAGAYGGAAARCACGTATCCAGTGTTTTAGATGATAGTTTCGAGGTCCTTACATCGACTCTGACTACTATCTTCTTACTATCTTCATCATAAAGTTTCAAGTCCAGAGCTCACTCTTATASAACCCCCAGAGGGTATCAAATGACTGATGTCCACAGTTTACTGAAATTATAGAGGGAACACTGCTCCAGCCTGGCGAATGGCAGTGAAATCATAACGCCAGGAGAAGGCGAATCCGATTCCCCAATCTATGATGATAGARCAGACGTTCCATTGCCCGACCTTGAAGAAGTTCGAATAGCAATTASCCGTCWGAAGAACAAAAAAGCRGTGRGGGCCGATRGATTGCCGGCCGAACTATTCAAATACGACGGAGAARAACTGTTATGGTCGGACGAAAGCATGCCYGACGATAGGAATTCAAGTKTGCTCTGCCCAATTCACAAAAACGGAGGCCCCACAACCTGCGCCAACTACCRTGAGATAAGTCTCCGCAACATCGCGTATAAGGTTCTATCGAGCGTATTGTGTGAAAGATTAAAGCCCATCGTCAACAAACTGATTGGACCTTATCAGCCTGGCTTCAGGCCTGCAAAATCAACAACTGYCCAGACATTCACCAAGCACCAAATCTCCAAATCTTRGAAAAKAGCCGTGAAAAGMGGATCGACACATATCACCTCTTCGCCGATTTCAAAGCTGCTTTTGACAGGACGAAAAAGAGMCGCCTTTATGTSGCGATGTCTGCATCTAATTAATCAACCAAAATWTCGCACAATAGACCTTAGATCACTGTGCAAGCCTCAATTTATTTCTAGTCATGGCCTAATCCTCTGAGTTGTGTAAAATGATTATTATTTCATTTACTTCATATACTTCATTTACTTTATATACATACGTTACTATTAATACTATTATAGTCTCAATTTTTTATATCTAAATTAGTATCATTAGCAGTAACAAACAAAAGTCAATAAGGCCTAACCTTCAAAAKGGTTGCCAAATATTACTTACTTTGCGCGCTGTCGGCTGTCTGTGAGAGTAGCACTAAAAGAAGGCATGCCACAAAGGCCACTCGTATCAACCGTGGCGGTAGCTGCAAAGAAACAAGAAAATAWTAAAATAAATTAAAATAATAATTACAGCGAAAAAATGAAAAGCGTGAGAATTCAAAAACTTACCTACTACTTACGACAAACATTTCGGTTTAAAATATTAACTTTTAGGTAATTTGTTAAGCCTATTAAGCGCATGTTGCAAGCAAACACTTTCAAATAAAGCAACAAAAACATTTGATAATACGCATATTAACAAAATAATTGAAAATCACATTCACCAAATGCACTCAAATTGTAGAAAAATGAATTCAAATCAAAGACTCAGAAAAAAATTTAAAAAATATGAATGAAATAAAATAATAATTCAAAAATTCAAAAATAAAAAAATAAATAAAAAATAACAAAAAAAATTGCATGAAAACATGAAATATTATGTTACAATTTGTTAAATCATTTATCATTTCGAAAAAGTTGGCATATTTATTTCAAAATCGCGCACACGCACTTAATCACCTGAATAACACGGCGGCGAAGGCTGCAGTAGGTGTTCAAAACGATTACATAAACACAATGGACAAATTAATCTTTCGCCGTGCAGACATAAACATGCACATATGTACATGTATGTRTGYGTGTCGTATTTACTTTTATCTTTACTGTAATCTTTAATTCTGCTATTTGCCACGGATTTACGCGTGTTTTTCACACGTGAGCAGCAATTTCGAAATTAACGCATTCAAGCGCGACATAAACGCCGCCCTRAAAATAAAGCAAAAGGTCAAATGTAGCGCAAAAAAGCAGTGCAAGCGTTGAAGCCCCCCAGCGCACACACACACACGCGAGTTTATATGCTTTGTCTCACTTTTGTAGACTGTGCTTACACAGCGCGCTCGACACAAAGGTCGCATGTGTTGTTGTTGGCGTAAAATTTATCAGTCACTTTGCCATAGATAAAGGTCAACGCACAAACAATGCGCCTGAAGATAAGGAAAATAATAAAAATCGGTGACGCGACTGCTAAAGCAGCACCTAAATGTACATATATATACTTGAATATACATATATACATTCATAGTTGAATATTCATATATATGTATGTACATACTTACATGCATTATTAATATAATGGGCTGCTATACACGTGATGTATTCATTAAATAAAAAATTTTCGTGCTAAGCGCTTACGCCCCGCTTCCCATATAACGCACACAGCTCCACACACACAAACCCACCAATCTACAAAATTTTGTATGTAATTTATTTGTTTCACATTTTCGTCACTTTTATTGGGTTTTCAAATAATTTTTATTGTTTKCGCTTTGCTCTTGTGCTTTTTCATATATTTCTGCTACAAATTATAAATAATTTTCTGCCTGACATTGACCCAGTTGCCGACCGACGCATTCGCAAACACAAGCAACCAAACAAATATGCCTTCTGCGGGTCAGCGCCAGCGAACGTCGTCGTCGTGAAGTTTGGGAATGTGCGTTTGACTGCAAGTCACACTTAAAGCCATTCAAATTAGCCAAAGTCACACTTGGCAGTCGGCAGTCTAAGTACTTCAAAATGTCTTAACGGCGCTTTTGGGCACTTCGCCGTCGTGCGACTTCCACTCTGAAAAGGTTTAAGTACTTCTTCAAGTCTTTGAGGTCTCTTCATATACTCGTTACAATTTATGGGCACTATATTAAAAATATATGCTTTAAACAGCAAATTGAAATCAACGACATTCCTCAACACTAGAAAAAATATATATAAAAACTACTTGTTGTCTGCAAGAATTTTATCTATTTATTTATGAATAATGCATTTGAGTCACAGTGACCTTAATTAGTTTTGTGGTAGGGACATAAATATCTTGGATTTATTTATTTTATTTTTGTTTATCTAACGTGAGTGCATAATAGAATTATTAATAAAAATATTTGTTTAAAGTGAATATTAAGGTTTTTTTTCATTTTAATATTTGATACAAATTATTATAATATTTCTGAGTTAGTTTGTAAATTCACTATTTAGATAATTTTTTGGCTAGTTATTCACATTATTGCTCTTTTTTTGAAACTTTTCCTTCTTAAAGGTCTTTATACTAGCGATTCGGCTGTGAAAATTTAATCGATTTGAATTTCAGTCTTCTTCTTAAAAAAATTTGAAACAAAGATAAGTATGTACTATATTAGATTTAAAAGAAGCTAAAAAACGGAAATGTATTTTTGAGTAAAATATTCTAATATATTCTTAAGAGAATATGAGTCTAAAAAATCAGCGATTTTTAAGGTGACGTTGCCTTAGATAGATTAATGAGGTAATGCACCGCGACCTAGGGTCTATTGTGCCCCAATTATTTGTTGTCTTCTTTTTATAATTCCTAAAATCTAAGGTTAGATTTGGTTAGATGGCTGATCGAAGATTGCACGTGAGTCCTTTGTCAAGCCATAGAAAATAAGAACTTCTGTGTTCGGACTTACAGATTGGCAAACACCTAGTAACTAATATAAATAGGCATAGGCGTTTCATTTCAATTCCCGCCAGTTCGGTGGGATGTCTGAAGGTATGCGCTCCTAAGTGTTTAAGTCTTGACTTCCCAAACGCGTRACAGTCAAGAAGGAAGTGTTGAGTTGTTTCTACCTCATCTKCTWCCAAACAGCTTCTGCAGACGCCATCTGATGAGATTCGCAACCTTACAGCATAGACGCTAATAGAGCAATAGCTTGTTAAAAGCCCCACAACTAGGAAGAGGCTAGCCTTACTGASGACAAAGAGATCACTAAATCTCCTGCGACCAATCTTGGGTCAAAAGTCTTTGCGACAGTGCAAGTACCGATGGTGGTCAAGCTTCTGCGAAGTCCAGCTATCTAGTAGTAGGACACAAGAGGATGCGGGAGCACCAACATACTCCCATTCTACCGATAGTGGTTCTAGGAAGCCTTTCCTTGCTAGCTCATAAGCTTTGCAATTACATGCAATTCCGCTATAGCCCGTCACCCGTATCAGTCTTTTCACAAAGACACTCGATGCTATTGAAAGACATTCTTTAACCAACCCTGATTATATTGTAAAGGAGTTCAACGCTAGTATCGCTCTGCTATGTATCTAAGTGAATGGTCACTTCTCTAAAGGAGGCCGCAATCCGAAGCAGCAGATCTACTGCCACCTTGATGGCTCCAACCTCAGCCTGGCAGACACTGCACTAGTCAGGAAGCCTGAAACTGGAGTATATAGAGAGTTACAGACAGTAAATCTCTCCACCAACCTCMACCAAGCTTTGACCCATCCGTAAAGAAGCCCACTGTTACTCTCCTCCAACGGCATTTTCCCACCCATAGCTCCCKCGTCGGTATATAGGCAGAGGAGCCGCTAAACTTCGGTTTGGCGACTCCATTATTTTAATTTTTATCAAGATTTGATATTTTTTAAACGATTAATATTATTGCAGTTTAAAATTGTAAAATAAAAATATAAATGGCCTTTAATAATAATAAACAAATAAATAAATAAAAATTCACACAATTTATTTACAGTTTCTATATTGTCTCAGAAACGTCAATCCCTGCGTACTAAAAAGCATAACATTAAATAGTTTTACAAGCAAAACTCACCCACATTTTATGAGCAAAGAAGTATAAGTATAAATGCGAGCTTATGTGCAAACATATGTATATACTGTATGTATATACCATTCATATGCATATATACTGYAGGTATTTGATAATTTCTAGCCGAATATATTGTTTAATATGCAGAACAGCAGCGGCTCAGTTACTAGATCGCTAACACCATTGCACACATCATTTGCGGCTAAATTACAAATTATCAAAGAATGACAGGCGACTGGCGACAGGTGATCGCGAAGGTGACAGGCGACAAATCGTCGTTTCCAATCTGCCCAACAAAATCCGTTAGCTAGCAATTAAGGAGCAAAGCAAAGCAAATTAACAAATAAACCAAACCACAAGATTATAAAAATAAGCAAAAAGCAAATAAAAATAAAATGGAATGAAAAATAAAAATGAAATGTAAGACAAAAATAGTTAAGATAGATTTTTTGAAATATATACAAGCGACTTCTTGGCTATTTTTAACGACTTACAATTGTCTATTTGCTTATTCTTTTTTTTTTTTTTGTTTTTTGTTGTTACTGGTTTGGTAATTGGAAATTGGCGCGAAAATGAATGTGGCGACTAATTGAAAATAAAGCGGGCGATGGCACAGTGGTGGCGTTAGTGGTAGGGGCACATTAAATATTGGAGAAAATTAATTAAAATTATTATTTTTTTATTTTATATGGCAAGCTTGCAATGTTTCTAATTAAATATATTTTTTTTCAACAAAAAATTGAAAAGTTTTTAACGAAAAAAGGGAATTCTTCATAACATATAGAATAAGCTTTGTTGGTAAATTTCCATAAAAATACTTTGTACTAGAGTTGCCAGTTAAAGTCACTAAATATTTT